TTCTCTGTGGTGGTATATTAAAGGTGAAATAAGTATATTATCAAATGGTGCTGTTACCAGTAGCCTATATTTGATTGTTAATAAGCACCACAATGAGTGATATCTGAAGTACTTCATGTATCTACTCTTAATTCTAAGTAGATAATACAGCATTGTGTTGACTATCGCAGTTCTCATTATATCATACTAAAACAGAATTTTTGGTTTATTTTTCTTGAACACTCAGATTCTCACAAGAAGGCTTAGGTTTCGTTTGGAGCGGGCACCAGGTGAGACAACTCTCATTGATAGAACTGGTCGTGGCTTGAAGATGGAACCATTGACTACTGTTGGAGAGTTAGAAAAATACTTAATCAAAATGGTGAGAGTATCATTAAGCTCCTATTTAGACAAGTCCCTGTTGTAGTTAAAGCATAAAACACAGTATAACTACAAAAAGTTGAACTTTAAGATATATCTGCAGGTCCAGTAATGTATGGTAAATATACTGTGTGACAGTACTATTTAATCAGATTTTAGTAAAATTAAAAATAGAAGAAGGGATAGAGTAATGTTAAAATTAAAAATACTTTTCGCAATCCTTAAAACCTCTCAAAATTTTCCTGGCTTTCTAACTATGCGACAAGAGCTATTACAAATTCATTTAAGCTAGTCATTAACTTTCCCATGGGAATGATGTTGATACTTCAAGTGACATTGATGGTTATCAGTTCAAAACACAATGTTATACAATATGTTATTTGATAGATGAAACCTTGACTTTCTATTGGTTATAGGTAATATATAATGAAACGTAAGTGAGAACTATCAACAAATTGTGAAAGAGAGGATGTGACGTGTGGGTGTGGCAGGAGGGGTCTGATTAGCTCTTTGATAGCTCCTTAAAAAAATTGAAGCCCATAAAAAGTATAGTCTGTTTGAGCAATAATGATTTTATAGAGAGCATTTTATGTTTAATTTCGTACATTTTCGGAGGGGTGATGGATAAAATAGGGATGATGACATGCTAAGACAAAATTTGTCAC